TTGACAATTACAAATTCCGAAAAAGAATGCTCATTTTCAAACTTAGTTTTCGTCAACAGACAATTGAGCGAGGCCCAAAGCGGCGATCATTTCGTCAGCAACCTCCGTGCCGCTGTCCAAGGTCAACGCCTCAATTTGAGTACATATTGCACCCAATTCAATGGTCTTTTGAGCCTCCTCATCTGGTTTTGCATATGAGCTACATAATCTACCCCACTCAAGTACGCACAACCAAATTCCCAAGCACTGCTGTCACAGGAAACCTTTTCTGGCAACCTGCCTCTAGCAAGCAATGCATCCTTTCTCATGTGTGGGATCTTGTAGTTGTTCCCACCTTGATACAGAATGACCTCTTGGAGGCATCGTTGCAAGGTGAGGAAGTTCTTGTTGAGCGTTGTTGAACTGACTTCCGCCCACGCCGAATTCGTCGTAGCAACGATCTCCTCCAGGCCCGCGAGGACTTTTCGACTTGGAGAGTCTGAATTGCGCGGAAAAATCCCAGATCCAGCACGTTCAAATCCGACGAATTGGGAGGTTGAAACACGACCTCGATATCCCAACCATCTTCCTTGCAGGCAGCGACGATAGCAGCATCCCGCGGAGGAACGTGTGGTCGTGCGTTGTCTTGTTGAATCTTGACTTTCTTGGCCTCTCCGCCAGGCCACTTGGATCGAATCGCGGGGATGACATTTTCGATCAGCATTGCCTTGTACTTGTCGCGCGTGACGGTCACAGTCTTCATGATGGGCGTGCCAGCATCGCGCCATACGCTACGCCGTTGAGCAGGGACAATCTCGGTGAAGTGCCACGTGCCTAGTTTACCGTCGAACCATTCGTACTTGTCTTCGTCCCAACGTGGCCGTGCAACTGCTGTCAGGAACATGACCTACAAAAGGTGCTGCTTGGACTTATATGATCGCAGCTTGATCTTCTCACCCGGGGCACCATAGACCTTCTTCCGCAATCGCGTCATGAAGAACCATCTCGTCGACGTGGACAGTGTCGAGCATGGGGTCGAAGAACTTGGTACCGTCGACATCTTGAACGTGCTTGATGACACATTTGAGGCGGCAAACCTTATTGGAGTCGGTGAGGGCAGACTTCAGTACAGTGGAGTACTTGGTGATGACCCCACGCTTGAAGTAGCAGTGCAGTGTAGACGTTGGAATCTTGAGGAGGTGTGCAATGGTGCGGAAGCAGTAGCGACGGGATTGGGGTATAGTTTGGATGCGTTGGGGCAGGTCGTCGTGCAGACGCTTGCGCCCGCAGTTGCCCTTCTTGCGTTGGTGTACCCCAAGACAAATGGTCTTTTGTCCTGTCAGATTGACAGCACCACGGCGCCATATGCGGCGAACAGTCGTTGGGGTGACGTCGAACATTTGGCCGATCTCAACGGCCACGCCGTTGGGTATCTTGCCTTTGGGCGTGTAACGCTCAAGACATGCTGGACTATCTTGGCGCATTCAATGTCCGTGAGGTTCTTCTTGCGCTGGCCCTGGCGCATCCCCTTCACGTCCACAAACCAACTATTGTCCCACAACGACGCAAAGCCGTCCGCGGAAAATGCAACCGCCGACCGCCCGACCCAGGTGTTTTCTCGACCGAGATGGTCCCGTCTCGATCGTGTTGCATCTTTTGGAATGGCTGGCCCATGTGCTCGCTTTGAAATGACTGGACGATGCGTGCTGGGGTCCTTTGGTCAGTCAGAGCCCGCTCAGGTCTAGGCGTGAAAACATTGCCGGATACAACCGGAATTATCTGAAAAAGCCATTTTTATCCGGATATTCGCGGGTGGCTGCTAATAAGTTGAAAATCTAAGCGCATATGTACTTTTAAATTGTATTCCTTGACTTTCTTTGTATTCTTATTATTCGATTATGTGTAAGCTGTAGATATTCTCATTTTCGGATAGCACACACTTTCCTGAATCACTGGGTAATCTTACTTTACCAATTCCTTCATAAAAAACTTGGGCTCATCGAAATACGAACATTTTTAATAGTACCAGGATCTTGGAGGCAATACTATATTCATGCTACTGGCATAATAAGTATTTTGTCAATTGTTATGTGTGTGGCCTCTCATGATACTGTATGGTAACGTCAGAATTTTTTAGCGTTTGATATCATTGCCTAAGAATTCGACAAGTGTTCTCCAACCTTTGAATGTTGGTGTCATGGGGCCATTGAAGAGCAAGCTTCGTACAATTAGCTTCACGAAAAGCCGGTTGGGTCTGCAGCCCAAAAACGCACGGCCATGGTTAAGCGCATTATTAAAGTCTGGGAGGACATGCTATGTGAAAACCCCACTCGCCTAGTAACTTGTTACTTGAGAATACACTTCATTTTCGAAATACTTGTAGTTTTCAGAAGTATTTTAGTATTTGTTGCTGGTCGTCGTGGTCGTGGCTGAGTTTGAAGTGTTCTCTTTTCTACTACATCGTGGATATGGTACTTCATTTCGACTACAGCTTGAATAAAACCTTTGTCAATTCACGTTGAAGGAAATTTTATTGCCAATACAAATTTCAAGATATATCTCAAGTACCACTGGGGATTTTTATCCGTCGCTCACTGTAAATACATACATAAATTGTTGCATGGGTCATCTCAACAATGGCGACCACACTCTAGCTGCGAGGCGATCCGATTCATCAAGGCCACACGCCGGCTCTACTCAGCACAGGCAATCTATCCCAAACTAACGTACTGCAACCTCTCATGGCCCATGCTCTCTGGTCCTGTGTGCCACTCTGGTCGGGAATAACTGTCAACGAAAACGTCTCATTGGCGGGATTTTTGTAGAAATTCGAATTAAGTCAATCTAATTGGCTCTTTGGAAAGTACATGGGAGGAGCTTTAATTGGGTACCTTTTCGGCTGGAAAATTCGTTGTGGTCGATGAGATAGAGAGCGCCAAAGTTGATTGGCATTGACGGATAACCTGTTTTTTCTACGCCACGAGCTCAGTTTCAATTTTTACGCATCGCAACATGGGCTCTCTTGTCCGCAATACCTTCCCTTTTGCTCCTGTTGTCTCCGTGGCGCAACCGCTCAACAGTGCCGGTACTGGGAGGTGCCGGAACCTGTCAAACGAGGAGCGCCGCCGGTAGTACCATGAGCTCCTATCGACGTCAAAGGATGGCGAGCTTCCTACTGGTGCATTTAACGACGTTGCTCAGCTCATTGGATGCCACTCTCGCACTGTCCGACGTATCTGGGCTCAAGCGCAACGGTCAATCCTCGCTGGCGATGTCGCGGAGAATGTCGATTCAACACGAAAGGGTAAATTCCTCTATAATTCAATATCTCCATAAATTTATGAGGCTTTTATTTCTGACAGTATACTATTTTTAGGGAATTGTGGTTCGAAACGAAAGCGTTCAAATGAAGAAATCGAGGAGGCCATAAGGCCCATCCCGCAATTTAAGCGGCAGACTTTGAGAAGTTCCTTGGAGGTGTTCGGGAAAACAATTATAAGCTCGTGCATATGAAAAATGACTCGACAATCGAAGACTTGGCATCGTTCAACCTGGAATGTGAGAACTCCAACGATGACAATGCCGTGATCAAATTGAATTCTCCAAATCAAGTAGATGTAGTAATATAGATAATGTCCATTAAAATTTGATCAAGTCTCAAAAATCTTTGACAGTTATACCCGACCAGAGTAGTATACACCTTGTCAACTTGCACTGCCACAAATGCCAGCTTATCATCTTCCAAGGGTGTAACGCGTGTGGCTCGACCTCTTTCTGTGGCGCGTCCGTTCGTGCAAAGGAGCTGTAGTTTCACCCGGCGCAAGTGGATTGTTCAACGCTGAACAGAGAACATGCCAATCCTTTGACCTAGGCCGGCTCAAGCGTGAATGGATATGGTCCATCCTGTTGACACTGCGAATTGTGGCAGACCCCACTCGGGATGGTCCAAGGCCCCCCGCGCTCGATGTCACCTCCTTGACATCCATCCACGTATGGAGTTATTGTCAAATCGATTCAAATTTGGAGTTCCCAGTCGAATCGAATCGACTTGGCAAATTGAGAATCGCCTTTATCAATCAAAATGCATCATCAAATTGGGGCGCAAATAATTCAAGCGCAGCAGCACAGCCCAAGCGCACCAGTACCTATCGGACCTCGTCAACAACTCGATCACGATAGCCATATTCAAGTATGGAGCCAGGTCAACTCAGCGGCGGACTTAGCGGAACTGCAGCAACAATCCATCGCGCCACAAGTCTACAGAGCATGTGCAGGTGCAGAGGCTCTCCACCAAGAACGTGCTGAGGGCGGCTAGCTGTGGGTTTGTCGAGTCCCCCACGGCGACGGCTCATCAGGCGTGGAGCGCGGGCTTTGAAGGGCAGCGCGGTACCGTGTGACCGGGGAGCTTGCAGTAGTGGCAGATCATTGGGTGCTCACCCTCGTAGTGTCCCGATTCATGGCAAAGGTTGCAACGCACGAGTTTGTGGAGGCAGTCGATCGATCCATGCCCTGCGCGATCGCAACGCCCACACATCTTACTCCTCTTGAGGAGACGTCAACGGGTTTGGACGAGATCACGAAAGGAGCATAGCCTAGCTGAGTCCGCTTGCTGGTTTGGTTGGACTGAGGTCTCAAGACAGGTTAAGCAGCAACTCATCGCGGGACAGAACAACAACCCGTCGACTATGACGACCTGACGGCGGTCTGGGTGTACAAATACTTCACCAAGTCGGGCGACCCAAATGATCACCGGGCCGGCAAACTAGCTTGCCACTGGCATGGACCATATCGGATTGACCAAAAGATGGGACCGAACACGTACAAAATCGACATACCGACGCACCCAGACAAGATTGCGACGGTCAATGTAGTCCGGCTCAAACCCTTCCGCGGCTATTGCTCTCGGCCGTTCAACGACAACATTCCGGAGGATGACTCCCCGATCTACGAACTCACGGTCGACTGCTTACCGGAATCCAGCTTCACTAGTCGAGTGACTTTCGGCGGCAACGATGTCGCCTACACCGCGACGGATTCCCCCATCTTCCGCTTGGTGGACAAGCGCAGGACCTCCCAATCTGGCGAACCAGAATACCTAGTCGAGTACGTGGACGGACACAAGCACTGGATTCGCGCGTCCAAGCCGCAAGAATACAGGACTTATTTTGACAGCTACGAGAATGAACGGAGGATGTCACAGGGTTTGCCACCCTACGGCGTTCCCGTCGGTTCGCCGACCTCGACGAGGAGCCGACGCAAAACGTGCTCTTCTCGATGATGGGATTACTTGGACAGCGACACCTGAAGCTGAATTGCACGGCGTCGATTCCGTCAACCACTTGATGTCGCTCAGCCCTTAAGCTGTCACAACCAGGTGGCTGACCTAGACCAACCTTCGCTCTCCCTAACACCTGTGCTGCTCACTCACGACCAAAACCATGACGTGATTCAGACGCTACGGACATCTATCAAACAAGTTATTAGCGAAACTATAAAGTAATTGCTGAAGTCGGCGACCCGCCTTCTGGTAGACCGGAGACGTCCGACCCAGCTACGACTGAGTGATCCGACAACGATTCGACGCACTGATGGTCGGGCAACACTGCGTAGAGCCCGGTCTGGTTCTTCTCCGTCGTGGACTGTTCCCGGAGCCAACGCGGAGGATAGAAAATGCCTTGACCGTCGTGCCGGACGTATGGAAATGGCGCCGTCCGAGGGGCCCATCCTTGTAATCCCGCTATCTTAAACAACACCCCGCACCACTCAAAGTCCTTGGAGTGAGTGTCGCGGGCCCACACTAACACGTCCCAAGCCCAATTTCGGTGGAGATTCGAGGCCACGTAGGGCGAACACGAATATTGGCTGAACTTGGTCCGTGACATGAGTTATGAAAAAGCCGCGAAGTCGGGCCATCGCTTCGACCCGTTGAATGCCAAGTAGTCGAGCACGATGTCCGACCCGCGCGCCGCATCCAACATCTTCAGAGAACAAGGCTCCTGGACCAGCTTGGCCCAGAAAGGGTGGGGATTACCGTATAGGTACTGAAAGACGGTGTGCCCCTCCATGCGATACACGTCCGCCGCCAAAAGCTACCACGCCTTCTCGGCGCGGCTCAGATCTGACTTGGTATGTTTCGAAGTCTGGTCGACCTAAGGACAAGAATTGAAGGATCCAAGCAGAAAACAGCGTCGACTTACCACATACACGGCCTCGCCGTAATACTCATCATGCCCGATCCAAAAGTATCGAGACCAAACTGCTTTGGCATGTCGTTCCCAAAATTGCCGTAATCGTTGGTTCCAATCCCGCTGGGCAACGGTCGCACCCGACAAGAAGGACTGAAAGGACTCGACCCAAAGCTGTCACGGCTTAGAGGCCCGCAACTTCAGATACGCCTACGTCGCCTCGGCAGACATCTCCACGTAGTCCAGTCGCGTCACCACCTCAGCGTCAAACACGATTGGGACCCGAGGAGTGCTTGGCGCACGACAGACTTTGTCTTTACCTAACCCTCGGTCTCGCGCTTCTAACCCCGTTTCGTCGCCGCCTTGGTTTCAATTCGTCGTTAGAGTTCGGGGGAGGAGTATGAATCGACGGCTGGTCGTCTTCGCTGCTGCTCTCGAAGGTGGCTTGTTCGAGGGCGAACATCTCGAACGAGGCTTGGAACAGCTGCTGACGACGCATCGTGTGCGGTCAACCGAACCGCAATACAAAGTCCTTGTACTTTTCGAAGGTGTCCGACGTTGCGAAAGAATCTGGGTTCGTAACTGCTCAATTCCACCGCGCTTTGAAAGGCCTGGGAATCAACCCCGGCTCGTTCCTGTGCAAAGTTGACGAGGTCATCCACCGCCGACTGGATTTTGGACACTCTTGACATCAGCTGGTCAAGTTGTCATAAAGGAAGGTCTTCTGAGTCTGACACACTGCGGGAGCTCGATCCAGTCGCTCGCGTTCGGAGACCGATCTTTCCGGGGGTGTGGATGTCGGCTGGACTCTGGAAGCCGAAGGACCCTCTGTGCCAGATTCGGGGCTCGAGGAAGCCGATCGTGTTGCCGTTGCTGATGCGTGAGTTCGACGCGTCGCCACCGCCGCAATGCTAGTCCGAGAATGCCGTATGTTGTCCGCTCACGCGAGTTGACAAGTCAAGAATCGAAGTCGAACGAAAGGCTGACATGTTCTGGTCTACGATAAGTCGGCTAAGGCGAATCTGACCCGGTCACCAATGAAGTCAAATCTCTGCCTGTTCGGACTCTGCGTCGTTCAACCAGGACATCATCGTCGATTCGGTTGTTCGTTGGAGGTCGAACTATAAACGGGAGGTTTATGACGATGATGGCCATCATGCCATCCTTACTCGGCCACGAATGGTCCACACTAAATGAAAAGGCTCTGAAACCTAGAATTTTAGTCTAGAGGCGCTTGACGTCCCTCTACAAGGACCCCTTGATGTTAGATAGCTACATCCTAATCTCTCTTTAACCTGCACGTTGGAGGTCACCTACTTCCTTCCATCTTGCGCTACTCTTGGTGAAGCCGAGAATATCCGACGCTGAAGTTCAGCTCCCTGAACTTCCTTTTAGTTTGTGCACTTACGCCTTCCCACGTGACTGTCACACGAGTCTGGAAGCGTATCTGACTGACATGCTTGATGTACGTACGTTTGATTTCAACTGCCTTGGTGTTCAGTACGTACGAAAGTACAAAGAATGTTACATGGCATCGCCCGCCAAGCAGTGATCGTGTGGTGTCACAAGTCGCGGTCGCGAGATTTGGCTTGCCCACAAAAACAGATTGTTGTACCCTGTCTGTCACGTATGTTGTACGTACGTTCGCTTCGAAATCTCTTGGTGTTCAGTACGCACAAAGACATACCCAGGTGGACGACAGTCACTGTTGAATGCTACAGTATGTGGTCCACGTCGCGGGTTCAATGCCTTGCCAAGCCGAATCTTGCCGCGACCTCATATGGATATCGCGGCTTGTTCGAGAGCGCAAGACCTCTGCTTTGGTTGG